GATGTTCACTACTAGATTACGTCCGTGTACCTACTTAGATATAACAACCCTCCTGAACGTTGGTTGTAAGCAAACTTTCATCAGTTTTTCACATCTCATAAGTGGGCATTCATAACTAGATGGCTGACCAGACACAAAACGAGTTTTTTATGTGCGGAGACAGACTCTTATTTCCCTTCGGTGACCAGAAAAAGGGATTTTGTCCCGTTATTGTTGAAACAGAAGCGTAATTTATTGTGGTGAAGAGGCAATATTCAGATAGTTTTTTAACTTCTTTTTCGTTTACACTCAGAAAACCGTCTCAAGTGCCCAACAGATTGACTATTCGATGCGGCCGTGAACCCGATAATACATTAAATAAATTACAACACACTTTTTGTCAACTATGATGCTTCCTCTTCTGGGGCAAATTCCCATTTCCCTTTAGCTCTATTTAGTCTCAGCTCATCCTCGTGAATCTGTTCTTTCAATTCTATTTACCTTTACTCAGATTCTGGTACCCCGACTGCCAAACTCAATAAACCAGATCGCTCTAATCGGCGAACAAAGACTCGCTCGAAGCAACTTGCCGTGAAGGAGCCGCCATCAGAACCAGAACCACGAAACAAATCACCACCCCCGGAGCCACACATATATCCCCTGAGATCTCGAATACGACAGGAGAGTCTTCGGAAGCAGTGGCAGGCGGCGCAGACGGCACCAAGAACCTTTGACCGACTGCCCACAGAAATCCTCCTACGCATTGTTCAGTACCTCAGTGTGCAAGACCTTTTCCGTACCCAACGCGTCAACAAACGCCTGCGAGCAGTTATCGACAAGTACCTCCTTCTGGTCAAACGTCTCAACTTCAGTAATGGTCTCCCTTTTGCTTTTTTGCCGGAGAAGTTGGACGATGCTGCCCTTAAGCGTATTCTCTCCCGAACACCTGAAGTTACGCACATTTTGGGCTTCTATCCTCGGCGTTTCCAGGACTCATTCCCCATGGACACCAGACACACTGGACCTCGCTTCCCTACGGGTGAAGGTCTCTCCTACTCTGGCATAATCGAGGCTTTTCGGTCCT